GGGCAACAGAGTGAGACTCTGTCTCAAAAAAAAAGAAATCCTGCCTCTGTTTTTAAGTCTAAAGTCACTATCTGCCGACATAGTTTTAGGACAGTTGATAAAATGTGAAAACAAATTACTATATATAAGTATTGACTGCTTTAAGCTTTAAAATCAGCATATAGGTTAGACTTTGATAATTATATAATTACATTTTCTTTTAATTTCATAGAACAGTAAATGTCCGGAGGGAACGAAACCCATGTTAATATTTGCTGGTGATGATTTTGATGTAACAGAAGACTATAGAAGACTAAAAAGTCTTCTTATTGGTAAGTTTTTTTGTTGTTGTTGTTTTTTTAAAGAAACAAGTGTCTTGCTCTGCCCAGCCTGGAGTCCAGTGGCACAATCATAGCTCACTGCAGCCTTGAACTCCTGGGCTCAAGCAATCCTCCTCTTTCAGCCTCTTGAGTAGCTGGGACTGCAAGCATGCAGTCATGCCTGGCTAATTTTTTTTTATTATTTTATAGAGACAGGGTCTCACTTGTTCCTTAGGGTGGTTTCGAATTCCTGGCTTCAAGCAATCCTCCTGCTTTGGCCTCCCAAAGTGCTATGATGATAGGTGTCCACAGTGTCTGACCCTAAATGGTTTTTGTGATAATCCCTGCCTTCTTGATATCATGTGCTTCCACTAGATGGCAGGAATGACCACATAATGCAGCTATGAGGGAAAGGGAGTGAAAAAAGGAATCAGCGCAGAAGCAGAAAGATAGAGGAAGAATGGAATGAGATTGTAGGGCACCAAGGGAAGTTGGGTTTTCAATAAAGATATGAAGAGGTTGGTAGTCTGAGTGCAGTGGTATTTACAACTAATTGATCACAACCAGTTATTGATTCCTTTGTCCTTCTCCACTCCCACTGCTTTGCTTGACCAGCCTTAAAAAAAAAATTTAAAAATTTTAAAAAATATAGATATGAAGAGAGACACTGCCTCTTGGTGTATGTTGTGTGTTTGAATGATATATCATAGATTAGTAGAGAAAGAAATTTATCAAGGGCTTTCTCCTTTCTAGGAAGTTCCTTTTTTTAATAATTGGCCAGAAAGAAAAGTTGATTTTCTTAGTGTCAGTGTTTTCATGCGAAGTACCCATTTTGTTCATCTTGAATTTTGCTTCCATTTTGCTTTCTTAAATATTACATAGATTTGTGGTTAATATAATTCCCCACTGTGGCTGTTTTCAGAAATGGGGTCTCTAAGGAAGGAACTTAGAGGGTAACTGTGTTTCTTTATAGAAAACCAGCAAATATCTGTTTTTAAATTTGTCTTTCCTAATTTTTATGGTTACTTTTTTTAACCATAAAAAAAGTTTATGGTGACTGTCTCTTGAATGTAAAGATAATAGTAAATAGTAATAGGTTAGTTTCATTAAATACTCCTTTAAGGCCTACTACTATTATCTACCTAACTGGATGACTTTTTTCTTCATTGCCTTTTAAAATTTTTTTTAGTAACACTTTAAGAAACTGCCAAACTGTTCTCTGAAATGGCATGCCATTTTATATTCCCATCAGCAGTGTATAAGAGCTTTAATTGGTCCACCTCTTTGCCAATACTTGGTAGACCATTCTTTTTAATTTTAGTAAATTCTAATAGGTGTTTTATACTAATAGTAATGTTTCCACAGTCAAATCTACAACATAAGTAATGGTGTCATTGCAGTTTTAATTTGTATTTTCTTTTTTTTTTTTGAGACAGAGTCTCACTGTGTTGCCCGGGCTAGAGTGCCGTGGCATCGACCTAGCTCACAGCAACCTCA